TTCAACAGTTTAACAATCCCGCCCACTATCAGGGTGAGAGAGAGAGAGAGACAGAGACAGAGACAGGGATGAATGAGAAAAAGAGCGACCTACAATCAGACATCTATTTAAATTGATTTCTGAAGAAGCCATTTCAGTATTCAACAATGTCAGAGGTTCTGAACTATAGGGTTGAAACGTCCACTGAATGCCTTCGGCACTTGGTTGAGTACCTTTGTTAACATAAACACATTATTGAACTACAAATGGCCCAAAGCCAGGTGTGGTGGCACACACCTGGAATCCCAGCACTCGGGAGGCGGAGGCAGGAGGATCGTTGTGAGTTCAAGACCAGCCTGGGCTACAATAATATGGTTGGAACCTGCTTTGTAACTCATGGAGCAACAGTAGTAAAGGTATAAAGGATATCCCTGAAAAGAAGTCAAACATCTGATGTCATTTTGCCAAGAGCAAGGTGGGGGGAGGTAGAGGCGCTGGTTCCTGCTTCACGATCTTTTCAATGCAACACTTTTTCCTTCCTGGCTTGCAGGGAGCCTCTACGTGACCTCAGGGTTTACTTTAGGCCACAGCTGCAGTGGTAGCTGTACTCTATACCCAGTGTGGTGATGGATCCAGGCAGTAATAACTTGAGAAGAGCCTCACGCTCTGCGCAGCAGGTAGAGCAAACACACCCACATTTGGTTCAGTCAGAACAGCTGGCACCATGGCTTTTTCATATAAAACTGAGGATGCTGCTAGAACCAAGTCTACTATATTCCTTTTTTTTTTTTTTTTTTTTTTTTTTTTTTTGATACTGGGAATCTAACTCAGGACGTTGTGCTTGCCAGGCAGGCGCTGTGCCGCTGAGCTATATCCCCAGCCCAGGTCTGCTAAATTCTTAAACATGACATTTCCACCTGACAGTGACATTTGTTTGACCTTCCCTACATTGAGTCCAACTGACCTACCCCAAAAAGGGATGGTGCAGTTTGAAGAAGAGCCCCAGAGTGGGCTAATAGGTGCTTTTTAAATTTGTTTTGTTTTTTTGTTGTTGTTTGTTTGTTTTTTCCCTGGTACAGGGAATCAAACTCATGACCTTGCGCTTGCCAGGCAGGCGCTGTGCCGCTGAGCTAAATCCCCAGCCCCAATAGGTGCTTTTTAAAAGAGGGATACCAGAAAGCTATGTCAGGTAGATAGTCATGGAGATTTGTGGCTGAAAGGAGTCATCCAGGTTGTCAGGACCCAAAGATACTAGCATTTCTCTGTGCACATCTTAGACTCGCCCCTGGCACTTACAGAATTCAACATAGAACCATGCACAATATCAACACCAATTACAGTATATACCCACACGGAAGCCACTGTAGTAAGTGAAATAGGCCCAAAGGGTCCCATGCAACAAGATCACATTAATTTCCCTTCTCCAATGCAAATATTGCCTGAATCTAGTCAGTTGAAATCTAATGTCCCATCATCCCAAGGAAAAGCTGGTCCCTTATGTGACCATAGCCAATGGAGCCAAAAAAAGCCCAACTCTCCCTTCTGCACAAGTTCCCCCAGCATCCTCAGGAGGGTGTGTACTGGGTCTCATCATTGATCATCTTTCTCCTTAATGAAGCAAAGATCAAGGTAGAAGCAGAGTTCTGCATGGGGTGGCACATACCTGTAATCTCTGAGCACTAGGGAGGCTGAGGCAGGAGGATCACTGTGAGTTCAAGGACAGCCTGCACTACATGGAGGGAACCTATCTCAAGAAAACAAATTTTTTAAAAGGTAGAAGCACAGGATGTGATCAGGGGCATGGAAGCACAGCTCTCAGAGGAAATTCAGGCTTTGTGTTCATTTCAATTTCCAATGTCCAGTCTCCTCCTAGCTCACCTGAAAGAGCTGCCGAGGTTTTCAGAAGACCCAAAGATCTGCACCATATAGCACATCCCTCACTGCTGACACTTTTTCAGCTTTCAGGATTCCTTGGCCACGGCCACACTGTCCCTAGTCTTGGTGGTGGAGCCTATTGACCCACTGCCATAGATTCCCTTCTCATACTACCCAGAGGAGAGTGACAAATGACCAAGGCCCCACATACTTTGTCTCTTTCCAATTTCTCACCACACAGAAGATTCTTAATCCCCTAACCACTCAAAACTTGGACAAAAGCATTCACTTCTGAATCCTAGGGAGCTGGCTCACCACCAAGGCTGGTTTGTGGGGCCATTATCCTTTTTCCAAAGGACTTAATTAGGCCGCATCCCATCCTCATCACCCAAACTGGTAAGAACTGTGAAGGCGCTGAGATTTCACTCTGCTTGCAAGTTAACAAGTTAACTTGACAGTTTTATAGACCCTGGCAGGAAACATGAGACTCTGGGGTCAAAGACAAAGGACTTTACTACTCTCAGCAATAGCAACAGTATTGAGATTATTACTGTAGGGCCAGGGATATAGCTCAGTTGCATAAGCGCCTGCCTGGCAAGTGCAAGGTCCTGAGTTCAATTCCTGGTACCAAAAAAAAGAGATTATTACTGTTGTTCCTCTGGTAACCTACTGCAGACTGATCAGGCCCACAACTTCCCAAACAAGTGGGTAGCAAACAGCTTAAATAAAAGAGACAAGTGGTATGATTTTTAGGACTGCAGGAGGGTCAAAACTCTCTAACAGAATTCGAGATTCTCTGGGGGTTGAGACAAAGAACTTCTCCAGGTGGTCCGTATTTACTCGGTTTTCAAACAAAGGAAGGGGATACTGAGGTAAGTGCAGGACCTTGGGAGTCAGTTCAAAGACTTCTCCAAGTAGTAAATTTTGCCAATGAGGAGAAGTCTTATCTTTAAGGTTGGCAGCGTTACTGCTCTGGAACAGTGGGTATCAGCAGCCCATGTCCTTGGCTGCCTCAGCTGTGGCTGACTTCAGAGCACTGTGCATATGCTCTTTTCCAACACAGAGGTCCCTGTGTTCAGCAGCTTAACCCTATACAGCTCGGTCTACCATAGTTATCAACCTCAATTCCCACACACTGATGCAGGGGGCCAGGTGACGCCAGTGTGCGCAATGGATTCCTTTACAGGAGAGGAGCCCTGAGCACAGGGGACCGAAACCTTTTATAATGCCTTTTACTCCAGGTGCACCCTCTATTTTCCAAGGCTCTGGGAAAACCCGCCCTTTGCTCTGGAGGGAGACACCGTGGGTATCTCTATCTTCTCTAAATCTTCTATTTTCTCTCCTTGTCCTTAAAAATCATCCCAGAATTAAGGCAGTCATGTCTTTCCTAGCAAGAAACATATAAAGACAAGCAGGCCATGGAGAACTGTCTAACAAATACTTTATTTAAAAAAAGAAAGTAGAGATTTTCACTCTGTTAGTCACTAGCGAACACACCATACCTTCCGTGGTTGCTGAGAATATATTTTCTTGATCCCTTCTCAATGGATGTACTCCTATTCCTCTTTCTGAATCTCAAGATTTCCTGTGAGGCTGAACTCATCTTCCATATATCTCACAGGCCAGTGCTCATAAAATCATCAGCTACACAATAGTAATTTAACGAATTCCAATAAAAAGTGAAGATGAATTAAAGATTTCTAAGTAGAGGGTCAGGTAGGTAATCTAGATACCCATCTATTAAACTATTAATTCTTCTCTTTTCTTATCTCCAACTCACTATGGGGATATTAGACAGCCACTTGTCAGCCAGGAGCAGTGGCACACTCCTGTAATCCCAGCACTCAGGAGGCTGAGGCAGGAGGATCACTGTGAGTTTGAGGTCAGCCTGGGCTACACAGTGAGTCCAAGGCCAGTCTTAACTACATAGCAAGATCCTGTCTCAAAACAAACAACAACACAAAATATACACATTTGTCAGTAGTTCTTTATGGGGAACAATGGAGGAATAGCACATATGAGCATTAATGAACAGATTCTAATTAAATTCTCATATTTCTTATCTGAGAGTGTCACATCTTATTGCAATGTGAGAGTATGAACATAGCTCACCTATAATCATATCCAATTTTAACTACTTCAAAATTAGGTAATTAGATACTATCGTCACACCAATCTAATTGTAATTATATAAAGAGAATTTTTAAATAGATGTTTTAAAGATACTAAAGTTTTCTATATTACTTGAGACCTCTGGATTAGAAAGCACTTCAAAAATACAGTTCTAAAAATTTAGGGCCAAAAATACCTGAGTTTTTCAAAATTAGGAAAGCCTATGTGGAACGTATCTTAACGTACATAATCCCTTTTATTAGTAGTATTATCTTTATGTTGAGAGACATGTTAAGATATACTTACATGTATCTGGTCCTCCACAGCAATCAGTTCAGAAATGTAACGACTACAGTAGATCAATATTTAACCACAAAGGAAAAGATACACTGCCACATTAGCTGATCTTTGTTCTCTTTGAATTTAATGAGTTTACATCAAAAATTTAGATAGTCATTTTATATTTAAGGAATAAAAATCTCTTTAAAAAAAACAATACAAAGAGTGAAAGGATTTTAGCCAAATTTACACTTCTTTTTGCTACGTTTTTTAACAATTCATCTCATCACATTTTATTGCAATGCGCAAAAACATTTGCAGCACCCATTACAATCACAAAACTAAAGTTAAGGAAGTATATACGCTGTTAATAGCGGCTCTCAGAGGAAACTGCTTTCCATCTCTTAAAAAACTCTACAGTATACAGAAACATTAATAAGACTATTAGCTAACCACCCATTGTCTTAAGAATCATCACCAAAGTTTTCTGGAAATAAGTCCTCATAAGAATTAAATATTTAAAAGGTGAAATGTTCCTTATTTTAATTTTAGCAAGATCTTTACCTTTTATCATTGCTAAGAAATATTTTAAGTTTTACAGCACAGACTGTTAAGAGTCTAGAAAGCTAAAATTGTACTCCTGAGTTCAAGCTTACAGATAAGTCTTTTATAAGTAATTCTCTCTTTTTTTTTTTTTTTCTTTTCTTTTTGGTACCGGGAATCAAACTCAGGACCTCATGCTTGCCAGGCAGGCACTGCGTCACTGAGCTAAATCCTCGGCCTTGTAAATAATTCTCAATAAAATATCCTCTTCTCTCCCTGGCCCTCTGCTCCAAATCTTGTTATTTCTTACAAAACTTTGGTCAAGAGTAGAAATTTATCCGGGCAGGTGTATATGCCATACAATAGCAAGAACGATAAAACCCAACTAATTACTTCGGGTTTTAAAAATAGAAGGCAATTAAAATGTACTCAAAGTTACATTAAAAAAAGCTTTCATGGCGTAATATTCAAACAGTCACAAAGGTTAAGAAAATACTAATATCAAAGTACAAATGACTACAATGTTAAAGTAGACAAAAACTACTATACAAGAGCCTTTTCTAAAATTAAAAATAAAGAACACAACGCATGAGTCAGGATGAGTTTCCTGTTCTACTCATGAAGGTTAGTCTTTGTATTTATAAGGTTGGTTATGCTGACATCCAGTAGTTTCTTGCAACATCCGAGGAAGTCTCATTCCAACTGTGTAGGGCGGATCTTCTCCAAGGAACTTCTTGATCCTGATCACATCTTGGTCATTGCACAATTTCAAAATAGTGCAATATCGCCATGATGTGCTGGGGTATGAAGACATATCCAGTGTACAGCGCCATGCCCACGACGGAAACCAGCATGGAATCTGAGCTGTAGTTAAGGAAACTATTTTTCTTAGTTCATTAACATAAAACCCACTTTTTTAAACAATCATTTTATGTTGAAATACCCATCACATATTTTTCTCACATACTATTGAGTACTTAGGATGAACTAATAAGGAACAGCAATGCCAGCCATGCAGCACTCTCAGAGTTCGGGTTTTTCTGTTTGGTTGGTTTGTTTGTTTTTGCTTTTAGGTTCATTTTATCTTCATCATTATCATACAAAGTAGGTCCTGTTATTCTCCCTATTATAGTTAAAAACATTAGCTTGCTTAAAACAAAGCCTAAACAATACCTTTTTTTTGTCTTTTTGTCTTTTTGAGACAAGGTCTTGCTATGCAGTTCAGGCTGGCCTTGAGCTCACTTTGTAGCCCAGGCTGGTCTCGAACTCTCAAGGATCCTCCTGCCTCAGTCTCCCGAGTGCTGGGATTACTGGCGTGCACCACCACGCCTGGCCTAGAAATACCACTTTTTGACTGAAGAAACAAATGTATGGAATAAAGGTGTAGTTTTTTTTGTTTTTTTTTTTTTTTTGGTTTTTTTTTGTTTTTTAAATGTGTAGTTAATAACTATAAAAGATCTACCAACTTGAATAGTAATAAGAACGTCTGAATGGCAATGGCACAGAAACAGATATAAAGATCAATTGAACAGAATACAGGATGCAGAAGCAACCCCTAGACACATTCAGCCACCTGATATTTGTCAAAGGGCCCAAAAACATACACTGTAGGAAAGATTAGTAAATGATGCTGAGAAAACTGATTATCCACATGCAGAAGCTTAAAGACCCACGAACTAAACAAAAATCAAAAATGAATCAAAGAGCTGGGCATGGTGGCACACGCCTGTAATCCCAGCACTCAGGAGGCTGAGGCAGGAGGATCGTTGCAAGTTCAAGACCAGCCTGGGCTACAAAGTGAGCTCAAGGCCAGCCTGAACTGCATAGCGAGACCCTGTCTCAAAAAGAAAAAAAAAAAAAAAAAAAAAGAATCAAAGGTCTAAATGCTAAAGCAGAAGCAGGCCACTGTGCCTTGCTCCGGCACAGCAGCCTGCCTTCATGCTGTAGAGTGTACTTCCTTCCCTACTTTTACTTGGCCCAAAAGCGCTCTGAAGAGCCTGTTTGTTTCCCTACCTTTAATAAAATTTAAAAAATAAATGAACACAGATATAATCCACTGGAAGATAAAGTAGGTAAAATTCTTGAAGGAATAGGCATAGGCAAAGGCTGAACAACTGCAGAAGAAATAACATCAAAAATCAACAAGGAGGGTCATAGCAAATTGAAAATCATTCTGCACAGCAAAGGAAACAACCAACAGAGTGAAGAGACAACCTACAAAATGGGAAAATCTTTCTTGCCAGCTATTCCTTGGACAGAGGACTAACACCTAGCATATATAAAGAACTCAAAAAACTCAGAGCCTCCAAAATAAAAGACCCAGTCAAAAAGTCAGCAACTGAAGTGAACAGACACTTCTCAGAAGAAGTGCAAATGCCCGGTAAATACATGGAAAAATTGAATATCTCTGGCCTTCAAAGAGAAACAAATTAAAACAACATTGAGATCCCATCTTACTCCAGAAAGCATGGCCATCATCAAGAAATCAAATAACAACAAATGCTGGAGGGGCTGCAGGGAACAAGGAACCCTTCTATCCTGCTGGCAGGAATGCAGTACAATCACTATGGACATCAGGATGGAGAGGCCTCAAAAAACTAAAACGAGAAATTCCATTTGAATTTCTGCTCCCCTTCTGACTATCTTCCCAAAGGAGTCAGGCATCATATTACAGTGACACATGCACACCCATGTTTGCAGAAGCACAACTCATAACAGCTAAATCTTGGAAGTAGCCTATATATATATCAATCAACAGATGAATGGATAAAGAAGGTGTGGTATTTACACACAATGAGGTTAAAAAAAAAAAGATAAACCTGAGCCATTTGTAGGAAAATGGATACACACTGACACATGTTAAGTGAAATAAACCAGACCCACAAGCTTAAATTCCACATGGTTTCTCTTATCCGAGAAACGCAAAATATAAACAGCAAAATAACAGATAGATAATAGCAAATAGGGCAGTAGAGCTTTTGCAAAAGGGAAGAGACAGGAGGGAGTGGGAAGGGATAACAGGCGAAAGGGATGAAAAAAGTTGTGTTACATGTGTAAATACTGCATTATTTCTCTGGTGTGAGAAACCAAAAGTGTAAAGGATCAAAATATATAACAGATATTGGGAAATGGAAAGAAAATGTTCAAATGAGAAGGGGAACAGGGAGCGGGAGGGGAAAAGAAAAGAAGGGACAGAAAAAAAAAGAATAGAAAAAATGGAGGCCCGGTGTGGTGGCATACACCTATAATCCTAGCACTTGGGAGACTGAGGCAGGAGGATTATCATGAGTTCAAAGCCAGCCTGGGCTACATAGTGAGTTTAAGGCTAGCCTGGACTACATAGCAAGATGCTGTCTCAAAAAACCAAAAAAAGAAAAACATGACAACAAAGTTTTTGTAAGTAAGGAGGGGAAGAGGGGTTGAAGGGAGGGAAGGGGAATAGGAATAACAGCAAATATATCACATACAGGTGCAAATACCCTATGATGAATGTTATCATTACGTATATCTAAAATGTACCAATACGCTGGGTGTGGTGGCACATACCTGTAATTCCAGCACTTGGGAGGCTGAGGCAGGAGGAACATGATGAGTTTGGGAGCAGCCTGGGCTACATAGTGAGTTCAAAGCCAGCCTGAAACTACATAGTGAGATCCTGTCTAATAAATAAATAAATATGTACATACATACATACCAGTAAAATACCAACCAGTAAAATAAAAAATTATACCAACCAGTAAAATATATACCAACCAGTAAAATGAAAAATTAAATTAAAAAATAAGTAACTAGGATGTATTATATACAAGTACCATAGGCCAGGGGATATAGCTCAGCAGCACAGCATCAGCCTGGCAAGAGCAAGGTCATGAGTTCAATTCCCAGCTCCCAAAAAAAAAAAAAAAAAAAGTACCAACTCCCCAAGGTAAATGTAATCATTATATAGTGCAAATGTATACTAATAAAAATTCTAATAAAAGGTCACTCTGGTATCCTAAGCAATAACCACACTGTACTGTGTTGCTTTATCCTTACTCCAGAAGGAACCGAAACTGTATATACACAAGTCAACACAGGGCCACACAGAATGCTGCAAACAAACATTATGTAACATCTAAGGACCTTTGGCTTTGCAAAGCCACAAAGCAATACTAAGAGAGAAATAAAATGCTGGACCTAAAGCTGTCTCCTTTTTTCCTCCTTTTATCTTTTCTCCCATTCTCTCACTTACCTTTCAGCTGTACCTACCAGCATTCTATAATAGCTTACATTTTTATGAGAAGATATGGTTTAAATAAACAATGTGCTAACTACCTGCTAATATTTGTAGAACAGTTTAGCTGACAAATCTCTCGTGTATAATATTATCTTGTTTAACCTTTATAGCTTTCTTATGAAATGTTTATCATGGTCATTACTCACCAGAGGCTGAGAAAACTGTGACTTGTCCAGGGCCATACAGGAAACAGTCTCTATCTTTAGAGCAACAGGTCAAACCCAAGCTCAGATTCTAAATTCATTCCATTTATGGGCAAAAAGTATCCCATAACCATTTTAATCATGTTTTAATTTTAATCTCCCTAGTCTAGTTCTTCCTTAAACTACCACTTTCCATGTACCACCTGTTTTTTCTGTTTTTGTTTTTGGTTTTTTTTTTTTTTTCTGTGGTTTTTTTTTTTGTCTTTTTGAGACAGGGTCTTGCTATGCAGTTCAGGTTGGCCTTGAGCTCACTTTGTAGCCCAGGCTGGTCTCATACTCACAACGATCCTCCTGCCTCAGCCTCCTGAGTGAGTGCTGGGATTACAGGTGTGCACCACCATGCCCGGCTACCACCTAACTTACTTAAAACAAACAAACAAAAAGTATACATTCACTGCTTCCCTTTGACTGTATATTTGGCTGGCTGACCAACAGAAGCATCGGACTTCTGTCCTGCTAGGCTAGAGACAAGCTCACCAAGTGATCTACCAAATCCAAGGGCTATCTGAATTGACAGTTTTTAGTCCTTCCTCTTCAAAGCCCTTTCTGTTCTGGGCTGGGGAGCTTCTCTAGGGCTCTCTTCCAGTCTCCAGCACTACTTTCTAATCACTCTATTGCATCGCCAAAGACCAACTAGGGAATCCCCTCCCTTCGGGGCCAATGGTCTCTCTCAGCACTGATCCGCTCAAAGCCTAGGGCTTCTGCCAGGAATTCAGGAACACAGATGCTCTCTCTCCGGAATAGCAGTTTGCAGAATTCTGGAATCGCGGGGGTCACTTTTCCTCCACAGGGAAAGCAAAAACGAAGCTCACATATTTAAGGTGACTACAATTACAGAAAAAAATGAAGCCAGAATCCTGATCAAATAACCCTGAAGCCTACCATACCCCTACGTTTTTAAACACTATGCCAATAAATTCCCTTTACTCTTATACCAGTTAGGTTTTCTCTGTGACTTGCTGCTGAGAAGAAAACATCCCAAGTGGTAAAATGGGGCTCCCAGGGTCTTGCCCTGGGCCAGACTCCTGAGTAACTTAAACCATTACCTTTATACTGCTGACCTGACCCGCCTTCCATACTGCACACAGCTGTCTCCAGACTGCTTCCCTACACTGACATTTCCGCCCGTGACACTCCAAGAGGTACCTTAAATTCAAGACAGCCAAAACTGAACTTCCTTTTTTCCCACACTACCAGTTCCTATGAGTTCTATTTTTCAGCTGACACAACTATCTGCCGACTCGTCCAATCCACCTTTGAGTTCTTCCCACATTCAAACTATCGAAAATTTCTGTTCTTCCCCAACCTCCACAAATGACTATCTCATATTCCCTCCGCTAATCAATGATAAATAATTGAGGCATTTAATATTCCTTATTT